AATATAGCACAATCCACAAGTAATTTTTCAAAAATCTATATGAAGTAAACCTCTAAAAAGGGACAGAAGAAAAGAAAATATTTCAATCATCCTCACTAGAATTTTGAACATAATTCAAAAATTCACCAAAATTGCGAAAAGAAGTTGCGATAGATAAATGAATCACTATGATTTATAGTAAAAATTAATTTTCATGAAATAGGCGGAATAAAATATTAAGAAATTAAACACACTTTATAAGAAGCATAATCAATGTATTTGAATTCAAAAAATAACATACAAATAATAATAGCAGAAATAAAAAATTTGCTTAAATGTAATAAATTCGACCATCAACCATTTTAGTAGGTTATCATATATCAATTGAAATCAATTTTCTTTGATTATATGTAAGAACCTTTAGAAAGGGACAAAAAAGAAGATACATTTTCAATCATCCTTGCAGCAACTTTAACAGAGTTAAAAAAAAAAGGTCACAAAAATAGGAAAAAGAAATTGCCATAGTTACAGAATTCACTTTGACTTATAGTAAAAATTAGGATCCATGAAAACTTTCAAAAATGAAACAAACTTCATAAAAACATAATTAATGCATTTTAATTTGACTATCCTATAGCAGAATTTTTTTTACAAATTATAGATGCACGAAATTTCTCTATTTAAGAGAACATAGGGTAGTCTGAACAAATATTTGTTGTGTCTTATCCGAAAGGTCACAACTCTTTGGAAAAGTGGCAACCCTTCAGAAAGGTCATAACCTTTCAAAAAAGTCAAAACTCTACATAATTTTTGTCATAGAGGTCGCAACTCTTCATAAAAGTCACAAATTTTCAAAAAAGTCACAGCTTTACATGACAAGGTAAGGCTAGTTTTATAAATAAATAAATTTAAAAGGGAATGCAGGTTATGGTGGCGCCACGTAGGTGGGCCTTTGATTTTCTTTTATAAAAATATATGATTTTAACTTCTCATACAAACAGTTAAACACCAATATATATTCTTATCTCATCCCAAATTCATGAAATTACATGTCATAATAATTGAATTGCCTATTTTAATTCAATAATATCCATATTATATAAGATAATATATTGATAAATAAAGAAAAAAATATTTTCTAGTATAAATACCATTAACTTTCCATTTTCTTTTCAAAAAAGGATATTCTAAATATATATGGATTTCGAAGGAGTTTTTGGCTAAAATCATTCCTCAACTATGACCTAAATCAAAAGTACATCCTTGTATTATAAAAAGGGAACAAAAAACATCCTTGCACTATTCAAATAGTTGTAAGATTCATCCTTCTGTCTATTCTTTTTAAGAAACTCAAGTCATTAACAAAAAATGTGTCGAGTCGAATGAATATATGCACACACGATTAAGCTAGTCAAGTTGAGTGTTTTTTGTAAGAAATTGAGGATTAAAATATTCAAACAAAATATATTCAAATTCTAAATATTCTTTGTAAAAAAATTGTCCAAATACAACTCCATTTTTAAAAATATCAAATTAAGTAATTATTATTCAATTATCACAACAAAACGCCTACATAATTTCACTAAATTAACACTACTTTTTATATATTGTATAAAATATGAATTGCACTGTCTGTATAGTATGTACGTACTATATTATTTTTATTAAAGAGAATCTCTAAATTATTACACATAAATGATTTTTTTTTGCATAATCTTTCAAACCATTGGATCCTACTATATAAATATTTCAAAACTTATGGATTGTTGCAAAACAATTTACTTGATTATGCTAAAAAGAAAAACATATAAACTAACAACACTCAAAATTCAAATTATGAGAATAAAATATTCATTTATCCATACCCTTATTATTATTAGGTAACATTGATCTTCTCGATGTAGCTAAGACATGATCAAATTAAAATATATATATTTTTTATTTGTTCAATTTGTTTCTCAACAAAAGTAGAGTGAAGGATGATTCTTGTTATTTTTTGGATAGTATAAGGAAATTCTTTTTTTTTATCTCACTTAGATAATATAAGGATGTAATTAGATTTGAGTCATAGTTGAGGGATGATTTTAGCCAAAAACTTGATTTCAAAGCACCCAATTGATTATCTTTTAATAATTAATTGACATTTATTATTATTGATTCATTATACAATTTACGATTAATTGATGTAGATTAGTGTTCATGAGTGATTTGTATATCAATATTTTTTTGAATGTATGTGTTTATAAGTATCCAAAAAAATAAAATGTTTAATTAAGATAAAAGACTCTTATATATGAAAATTTATTCTTAATTAACTAGCATATATATATATATATATATATATGTATGTATGTATGTATATGTAATTATGTGTGTGTATATATATATATATATATATATGTATGTATATATGTATATGTATGTATGAATGTATATATATGTATATATATATATATATGTATATATGTATATGTATGTATGAATGTATATATATGTATATATATATATATATGTATATGTATGTATGAATGTATATATATGTATATGTATATATATGATTATTATTTTAGTTAAATGAGTTTAATGAATTAAACTAGTCTATATTATTAAAAAAAAAGACTTTAATGACATGTCATGCCAACTAGAAGAGAGTGAGAATAAATTTTAATACACAACAGTTCAATCTTTGTGGCTGTTCGAGTTGAAAGAGATGGTGAAGTGGTCTTCTCAACTCGTCGTTTGGTTTGCTGCCAAGAACCAGGTAATGTTATTGCTTTTTTTCTTTAGTCCTTCTTTCTGTTGCGTTTTATAATTGTTATTATTCTAGTTTTGTTAACTTTTTTAGTATTCAATGTGTTTAGTTAAAATAGGGGTGATGTTTGTATGAATAACAGTAACATTTTTCATTATCATGTTTGCTTAGTTTAGCGAACTCCAAATGAGTTTTTTAAGTGTTTTGCTCTATTGATGGTTATTTTCGATGTAAATGTGATTCTTTTATTTCGTCAAGTTCATAAATCCATACATGTTCTTCTACTTACTGTTATCTTTATTCAGTTTGGAAATTTGTTTTATATAGTTGTTGTTTTCTGCCTCAAGCTGTTTTATTCAATATTCAGATTATCAACTCGCCTTTTGTCAAATCATGATTTCTCATATCTGTTTTATAAATACTTAGTCGTGCAACTGACTGATTTGTTGTATTAAGATGAGAATTAGTTGTTGGTTTGCTTCGTTGTTGTCTTCGAAATGTTTTGATTGCTATTGATATGAAAAATGTCTTTCCTTCCTACCTTAGGTTCTTTGATCCATAGTTTTCATCCCTTTGCAATATTACATAACCATGTTTTTCTTCCCGGACATTAGCATTCAATTGCTCTAAGTTGCTGATTGCTCTCCATTTTGTTAGATTTTGACTTAAATACTTTACGATAGGTATGTCGTTTTAATATTCGATAGTATGATTTCTTTGTTGTTTTGTATGGGTTAATCTCACAAATTTCTATATTTTTGTTAAGTTTCTGGTTCTATACCATCTATATTTGCTTTGTATAGTTTCTGCTCTGCGTTAATTTCTGTTGTAGATGCTTAGTTTTGTTATGTGTTATGGATAACAGTTCACTGATTTGAAAACTTTAATATGCAAACTGGTTAATTAGATTTAAAACTAAGGTTTTAGTGTTTTATTTCTTGTATTAGCAGTTTCTTAGACACCTGCGATTCTCTCTTAGTAGTTTAGTTTTCACAATTGTATCGGAAATGGATAAGAAGCTTCTTGTTTGTCTTGATGTTAGACATCTTTTCTCTTAAGGTTTGGTTGGTTAAGCTTTCTTTTAATTCCTTTGTATAAAGCGATTTATATCAAGGTTTCTTTAATCCTCAAAACATATGTCGGTGTCATTTTGATTTTTAAATATGAGCTCATGTAGAAGTTTCTTTACATTACGTGCCTTACACTTATTATTTGAGATGTGCCATCTGCTATTGAATGTTCTCTGCTCGTCTCTTTGTAAAGCTTCTTGTAGTAGTCTTGTTCTCTATTTATCTTTTATATCCTCCGCTTTTAAGAATAGGTTGAGTTTGGATATTTGTCTAGCCTTCTTAATTTGCTTTGAAAATCTGTCCGAATTACCACATTATTAGATTTGAGAAACTATGAATTACTGATGGTCATATGATCTGTTATTTTGATTGGTACGGTAACAAGTTAACTCACTGTGTTTCCTTTGGAATCCTTTCGAACTCGAGGATTTGTTGTCAATAAATTCGAGCGTCATATTATGCATATATATTGATTTGAAATAGAGGACACATTATTGTTTTTTATATTTGCTATTTGTCTGTAATGCCTAATATGGTTTCTGATGTATTGTTAAATTTTAAGATGAATAGATGCTTTAAATTTGGCACCTTTACAGTCACCGTATACATATTATGTTCTTTGCTTAGCTTAATATTGTTTCGTATTGATTCTAATCCTTTCTTTCCCTTCTTTGAGTTTTGCATGAACTCTCTCGTTTGACAGCTTAGCATTTGACTTATTTCATACTTAGAATAAGATGAGTGTACAAGTGTCAAAAGAATTTAGTTATTTTGAAACAAGATTTTTTACAAGTAACCTTAAGTTTTCTTTAGAAAAATTAGCCAAACTTTTAAATCCGTTGGTAAATCGCATGTTTGCGGATTTTCAGATGCCTAAATCCTTCATTAGAAAATTAATTGAACCCTTACCCGACTCTGATTTATCAAAGATTTTATTTTAAGGTCACATTTTAAAATGGTTTTCTTAATTTTTCCTAAAAATTAAGTGGCAACTCTCTAAATCATAAATTTTTCCAAAAACTTAACAAAAATTGCCAAAGTTGTAAAATTGACTTCGAAACCTTTAGTTTTTGAAATCGGGTCGTAACAGTGACCTATGATGAAAAAGTAAACTACTATGCAAGATAGATCTACTAATGAGAAGCTTCATATACCACACCTGTCGACAAGATGAATTGATGCATGTGAGAAGTGAAAAATGAATACACCTGATAGATTTACAATGCCTACAAAGTATCTACATGAATCCATGACTCCACGACTATGAAAATATATACATAGTAAAGACTCGAAAAATCCCTAAATAAATCTGGAGCTCACCAACAATCACTGAGTATCATGTTCTACTATTGGAGAGATTTACTAGTTGAGTACTTGTACCTACAACATGAAATGCAGTGATTCCAATAAGGGACGTCAGTACTAAAGAATGTACTGAATATGTAAGACATAATACAACCATATGTAAATTGAGAGCTCAAGTGAAACCAAATACAAATAGATAAGGATTTGAGACTATTTTTGCTTATACTTGTGGAATCATGTATATTACATTCTTTTCTTTAATTTTCTCTGTGTTAAAATCTTTATAAGACCTATCATACAAAGGACCAGCTGGTCAGTGGTAGAAGAGGTTACCTATGACATCGCTTTCAGTTATGAGCTCAAACAAGCTCATAATTGAATTTAAAGGGGACTCCCCTCCATGGTTGTCCCAACATTTACTAACCACTAGAACATCCTCCCTAATATTACACCATGTAGGAGGAAAAATAACCAACTTACTAGCACATATTGAATGTCCTAATTAACTCAAGTAGAAGGGGGAGAAAATTATAGTAGCCTACCTTGCTGGAATGAATTACCATTTGCTAAGACTTGTATTTTTCAAGGTAAAGGTTGTCCTCCTCAACTTTTTTTAACTTATACCTTTAAAAATTTTGAAATCCCTAATATTCAAGAACCCTAGTGGTATTTAATGGCTGCTCCATGGAGCTCAGAAAGAAGACAGAAAGCTCTAGAAATCAGATATTTTTTTCAAAGTAAAAATGGTTGGAAAAAGTTGATATCAATCCTTTTAAAAAGGACCTTCTTTGGCCAGATTTCTCACTCACTTTGGGACATAAATTATCAAGTAGGTGATCCACCTACTTGGAATTTTTTACTTGGGACTTTTTGGACTTAAACATATTGGGCTTTGACTGTTCATTTTCCCCTGATTCTTCTATTCAACTTGGGCTAGATTAATGCAAGTAGGTCGTAGTATACTTGGCCCAATAACATGGTCAAAAAAGTCTTAGTAGGCTATGCACCTAATTATTTTCTTGGGCTGGTAATCAAGAAAATCAGATGATGCACCTACTTGTCACCTACTATCTTAAGTATAATCAAGCAAGCACCTCAATATTTTATTCTATTTCTAGACTTTAATACATTTAAATTAACTTAAAACTAATATACACTATGTCACTTCAAACTTTAGACACAAGTACCACCTCATGATCTCAAGTTTAAATACTTCCATCGATGTCAACTTAATCGGGTCACATCAAAATATACGAACAACTAAGTTTAAATCTATTTTATTGTCACTAGTACCATAGGAAATCGAGTCCATAATATAACACAAGATAATTTATAAGCGTCACAAAAATAGAACTAGTAAAAGTAGAATAAGGGGTGCTACAGGTGTGTAGACCTTGATTTAAATGAAAGGATTCACAATGAAAAGGACTATTAAAATCTATAGTTGATATAGAAATAGGAAAAATCTGATGTTATTTAGGATTTTCCCATGTTATAGGGTGTTATAATATTTTAAAAATAATTCCACCTGACTTCAATTTTCTATGAACATAAAAAGAGTTCAACATATATAGAAAGATAGTATAAAATAATATTTGGCTATCATATTGCTTTGTCGCCCCTACAAGGTTAATTATATTTCTTAGATCATTATTCCAAGCTTGTTGTATAAATTTTCCAGCAATTGGGTTTAAATGACTCAACCATATAGGTTTGTGTTTTACTCTGAAGTGCCAATGACTAGGAATTAAAGTACTGGAAAAAATGTAAGTGAATGCTCAGCCATTGCAAAAGAGAAATTCAAATAAAAGCAACAACAAGAAAATTCAATCACTTTTAATACAATTGTTCGATACTTAAGTAGGCGAATATTTCACAATCCAAGTCTGTGCAAATAGTCCTCACTCAGATATTTATTACATATTTGAGCCCTTTTCCTTGTTTTTTTTTTTTAAAAAAAAACACATTTAATATCACCTTTAACAATAGAAAACAATTATTTGATTACTATATCAAAAATGATATTTAGCGGTAATTAATTAATGACAGTAACTTAATTTTCACTAAATATGTAGTTGGAAGGACAATTAGTACTCTTCGTAAATGTCCTAAAGTCTATTGTGACATTGATCCAATGACAATTAACTAATGTTGGTAAGTTTTGATACTCTTTGTTAATGTATACATTTATTGCCACTAAAAGTTTTTTTTTTTAGTGAAACAATGTAAACACTTCTAAGAGTGTGAATAGTCTATTTGACTATTAACTGGTGTATACTCCTATACTAAAACTTTTTACGTCAATAGATCATATAGAGTCGATTAGTTATGACACTAAATATGTTGATTGGTGTATAGATCTCAAAAATAATATATCAAGTCAAAAACCCTTTAATGTTATGATTGGTGAGATAAGAGTGTTGCTTGGTGTATAGGCCTTGACCTAAAGGTAAAGGTTCACAAAACATTTGGTTAGTTAGGATAAGACTATTGCTTAGTGTATAGATCTTGACAAAAACATTTCAAAGTCAAAAAGTCATTTTTTATAAGTTATGAAAAAATTGTTATTTCGTTTATGCATCTGATTGTATATCAACTTAATGATGATCAAACGTAGACTCTAATAGCTCTAATAAATTTACATATTCTCATGTCAATACAAGAGAAAAATTATGGCGCAAAAGGCTTACATATATCATTATTACAAAAGTAACTCATATTTTCTAACGTTATAAAAGTGGCTCACATATACCTTTTTATTAAATGGAAGTGAAAAGAATAAATTTAATTTTTTTAATTTTTAATTTTATGTCAACGGGGCAAATATACAGCTCAACTTTTCAATTTAAAGCAGATATACACCTCGTAGAAAAGTGGCAAATATACCTCCATCGACTAACAAATGGTGCAGATACACCCGCGCTGTCTAATATATGGGTATACATTTACCATTTTCATTAGCAGATTGGATTTATTTTTATAAAAAAAATCTTAAATTGGTTTTTGAGTCAATTTATTGTTGTAGAGCATAAATGCATATTCAAAGGTCTGATATTTCATCAACATATACCTGATTAATTAAAAAATCATTTAGATAAGTTGGGTGACTTCTAATAGTTGAATGACTTTTGAGTTATAAAACTAAGTTCAATGACATTCTAAGTGTAATATTTAACTTCTTAAGTCAAAAGCTCTAAGCCCATCAACATAGACTCTAACTCTCTTCTGTTAGAAAATAATAGAAATTACCGGACACTTTAACTTTTGAGCGATTCAAATAATACAAGTTTGGTTAGTTCTTAAATACAACAATAATACAAGTTTATTAGCTCTTGAGCACAATAATAATACAAGTTGAAATTTCTGAGCTATTTGGACACAGAGATAGGGAGTTGACTGCTATAAATTAAGATTTGATAATTGAAAAGATCTCATATTCGTGGTCTTGTTTGTTTGTATCATGGTCAATATTTGGTAGGTATTTGTAATAAATTTTCGTTGGTCAATGGTGATGGTATTAGTCATAGTGGTTCTAAGTTCTAACTATGTTTATTTAATGTATATATATTTGATGTAGTTTTAGAGGGTCTTGTTACATACATGTCACGATCCAGATCATAATGATTGACACAACACTAATCTTTCGATGGGAAAATCATTTATACTAAGTAGCTGACCAACTCAATCAAAATAGTAAGACATTTAAGGTTACAAAAGCAAGTTTAAATGCTAAAAGAAAGACAGGGAGTTCCCATAAACTCCAATAGAAGTATAACAACCAAAACTAATATTGCGGAAATAATGCCCAGACCCTGAAAGTCAATGTACCAAAACATCTATAGTTTAAAAAGTCTAAACAAGAAGGGATACAACCCCAAACTAACATTCAAATAACTAGCTAGAAAGTCTAAGTACGGAAAGATGGACATAAACGAAAAGAGAAATCATGGAAGCCTAGAAGAACTGGCTCACCCTTGAATTTGAACGATCACTGATCTTCTAAGAGATGTCTGTCATAGCCACCTGAAAATGCCTCGTACTCCACAAAAAAAGAGCAAGTGTAGTATCAATACACAATCACAGTATGCTGGTAGGATCACACGACTATCCCACTAAGTGCAACATACATAAGCCATTACTACATAATAATAACATGCATATCGTATATATACAATATCAACAATATTCAAGAACAACGGAAAACTTCACAATTCTCAATTATATACTTATGTCAAGTCAATAGTCCTCTCATGTAACCTAAACCCAAACTGTTAGCATAACGGAACGTGGTAGCCGATCCAACTTTTATGCCGAAACACGCCAACTGATCCTATATTTATGCTGAAATGTAGAAATTGATCAAAGTTACTGTGTCAGAACGCAACACTCTATCCATTAAACAAGCCACAATCACGTAGAATCACAAAGTAGATTCTCATAATCGTACAATCAAGTCATGATTTCATGGCAACAATTAGTCAATCATCCTCATTTACGATTAATATTATCAATAATGCAACATTTGCATCCATACATGTTTCATAATGAAGCAAGAACAAACATACATCACATAATCATGCAATCACTACCATCACCTATCTTGAAAAAAACTTGAATCTCCTAAGAAACTTGATTCTTCCCATTCTTGATCCGTTCTGCTTTTTCTTGGTCTACAAACCATTAATTTAATGTTAGCATCAATAAAGAAGACTTAATTACCCGAAAAAAGTCAACACTATATACCCTAGATCAAACCCTTTACTACATACCCAGATTAGGGCTTTTTTCACCATAAATTTCTCATCAAAGTCCACCCCCGCATTGATAATTACCCATTAGATTATAATTTACTGATCGAAAATAGACTCGGGGAGTTAAAACCTTACCTTTCACCTTAGAAAAGGGAGAAAACTGGCAAGAACCAACTGGATTCATTCCTTAGCTCTCAAGTTTGAAAATAGCAGAATAAAACGTTCTTAGGGTTTATTTCCGACTTAAGTCGCATTTGTCCCTCTATGAAAGCACTCACCATGCTACAACCGCCCCGTACTCATTAACGCTAAGATCAGTTTGGGGAGTTCTACTCACCCGAATTAAATTCTGTAAAGTTGTAGAGGTTCCTTAAAATCTTAGCTATCCATTTATGTAATCAAATTCATTAATAGATCTATAGTTTGTTACCATATTTCCCTAGACCTCACTAACTTTAATTTCGTCAAAATTTGGACTAGGCTAGAAAATCTCAAGTTACCACGAAAAAGTTTTCTGGTCCTAGTTCTTTGTCCATTGGCTTTTCCCTAGTGACAAAAATCAGGTAGTTAAAATACAACTGTAACGATTCAAAAAAAAACCCGAATATATATGTACTTAAGGTGATTTAATTATTAATTAAAAATCTGAAATTTTAAAGTCATAATGGTCCTTTCACGTATTAATTTAAAATAAATCAGATTTTTATGAAGTTAGTTAAATCCTATTTTGACTAAATCTTGAATTTAGTCTCCTAATCCTAGTAGATCTCTCTCTCTCACGCTTCTTAACTCTCTCTCTCCCTCACGTTCTCTATCTCTCACACGTTATTCTGCCAAATACAACAAAAAACCCAGAGAATACATCAATAATTCTTCACACTAGAAGAACTCACATGATTTTTTTTAAAAAGCAACTTAAAAACGTTAAGGCGAAGAGAATTTGTTCGTTGAGTGGTGTGGACGTTGAGGTAACTTGG